CTAATAGATGGGGAATATAATAATAATAATAATAATTAATGGGTCAAATGAAAGCAGTTTATGATAAACAGGGTTATGAAAATATGATAATCTGGTTGCTGAATAATTGTGAATAAGAATATATATCAGAATAGTCCATAAAATAGTTCCGGAAGTGACTATTCCTTTAGTTTTTGTTTGGTGTAGTTTCACTCTTTGAGTTGGATAGTTTGGTTGTGGAGCTTATATTGCTCGTCTGAACAAAACAATCATCAGCATAAACTCCAGATCAAAGAATGAAACTTTATTTAATGAGTTAGTTTACTACAAGATGGTATGGTTAACCCCCATGCTCAACCGTCCTCCTTTATCTGAGCTTGGGATCAGCAGTATCCCCAGAGGGTCTCCATGTGGTGTTAGGTTACATTATTAATCATAACAAATTTTCCATTGAATTTGATAATATTAACCTAATTCTCTTTATTCATTAATAATGTTTTTTAATTATAAATAACAATCAAACTTAATTGATAAACTTGATTATTCTTGCTCTCCCTATTGTCCACCATTTGGAAACACTTCAAGATTATTATTATTACGAAAACGTATAGAAAGCTTCGCTGAATCTCATACTCAATGTGTACGTCATGCATTGAAAGAGTTTCGTCAAAATTTTGAAAATCAAATACAAACTTTAAACAATTCCAATTTAAAATTGATTGAATCATTAGAGTAAGATTTAATGAATGAACTATTGAATCATTATAACTATTATTATTATTATTATTATTATTATTATTATTATTATTATTAATGGTTGAGATCATGAGTCAATTGAAACTAGATCACCATGGAAAACTTGGAAGCGCTGGAAGACCGTTTCGTCCTACTGTGGAACTCCTCAGTAGTACGCATCTACGATCTCAACTATTAAAATTACTATAATATCCATAAAACCCCTTCTGATATTATTATTATTTAAAGCATGTTTATCTGAAAACGTTTATATATATTGGATGGTGGTTGGAGGTAGTCCACAGGAAACCCTGGACCCGGGTTTCGTGCTACTTGGTACTCGTCAGCAAGGTGTACCTGTAATCTTGAGGGAACTGGTGCTCCCTGGCGGATTCGATCCCGTGTCACCAAGCTTCACAGTCAGAGACGTTACCACTGAGCTATCCGGGCCGGGTCCAGAGTTCCCTATCGACTACCTCCAACCACCATCTAATCTCACAATAGTGCACGCAGTCTCAAGCCTAGAGTTTTAGATTCTTAATATGCTGTGTATAACTTGAGCACTCGAACGCTAGAACCTTCCAAGTCGCAAATGAGAAAACAGAAGACAAGTGAAAGAAATTTTATTCCATATAGTGTCAATTATGATACAAAAAAATGTCAGCTATTTATAATTTTTAGTAAAAAGGAAATCATCATTATAGTCCTCCAATCTGCATACATGGGGTTGTTAACATTTTTTCAATAAGGAAGCTATACGAAATGATGCTAGAATATTCTTCCAAAAGATTATTGGATGGGATATCTTCAAGTCTTTTTGAGCTTCTTAGAGCTTCATCGAGTTCACCCGTGAACTCTCCTCATAGATACTAATTGAAATCGAACTTAACCGATGGAGCCGCATTACGATTGTATGATATCATGAATTGATTTGGGTTGGGAATATGAACAATCAATTTCTGTCTACATAGTACAGAGGTAACTCTCGCACTGTGAAATGTGAGAATTCTAGATCTGATGCCTGAGGACATTGTAGATGAATACTGACAAGAAGTTTTAAAATAGAACGAAACATCATTTTTAGTGATTGTTTAGGTGAAATTAATGATTTGTGATATGAATCCAATCCAAAGTGAACAATTGATATAAATATCTCATTTAGTTTTTTGTTGAGATCATGAACCGATTGATGTTAGACCGTCGTTGGAAACCTGGAAGCACTGGACGGATGTTTCGTCCTATTGTGGAACTCCTAGGCATCGCGCAATTTCGTGGATTGGTTGTTGTTATACACTAACACCATTGGGTGTCGGCTCAGTGGTCCATTAGGTTAAGCGTTCACACGTGGGACTGGAGGCCCTGGGTTCGAATCCCGCGGGCAGGATCGTGGATGCGCACTGTCGAGGAGTCCCACGATAGGACAAAACGGCCGTCCTGTGCTTCCAAGTTTGGTTCATCCATGATGAACTAGCATTTTTGTATAAAGATATCATCAAAGTGTATATACGAAAGGAAAGAATTTGTAATTGTCAGTATAGGTTTATGGAGATTGTTGAGTTTTTCAATTAAGATCATTAACCGATCAGTGTTAGACCACCATCAAAAGCTCTGAAACACTCGATGGCTGTTTTGTCCTGGTATTCGACTCCTTAGACGTGTATAATCACGATTCCGCATGTGGAACTCGAACCCAGTATCATCAGTCTCGCGCGCAAACACTTAACTTTCAGACCACGAAGCTGTTATCGAGCCGTGTTAATGTCTAACTTCAACCAATCCTTGAAATTGCGCCACTGTCCACCATTGTGTTCAGTGAGTTACTCATGAATTCAATCATTGAATTACTACAATTTTCACAAAACACCCTTTCTGATAATAATCATCATGTGCTCAGTAGTGACTGGCTTCAAGAGGTATTTCCTGGAGTCCTAATGAGAAGCTGTGACCAGTAGAGTTCAACTGTGTCTGTTGTGAGGCATCTGACTTACAAATAGTACACCAACATGCAATTCAACCCTGTAAAACGCTATCTAAACTCTAAATTTTCAAATATTATAAACGAACAATTTAATGAGTTGCTTTGAAAATTTCAAATGATCTAAAGTGTTGAATGAAGACACTTCATCTAGTCTAAAACCTTGATAAATTTGTTAGAATGGATAGAATATTGGACAGGTTGGGACTCTTAAGTGTGATCTATGCTACTTATTTCGGTAAATCTAAGTAGCATGTAACATCAATCAGAACTAGAATGCCTGGTAGCAGAAAGTTAAGAAGATTCAATTGAGGAAAACAGGAAGAGCAATAGTGAGTAATTGTAATAACAGCAGAAATCAAAGCGTTATGAAAAATGTAAAAGACAACTGATGAAAGATGTGCTAATGAAGTATTTGATGTATGGTTTTCATATTTTAAGAAAGCGCTCTGTAATTCTAGTATATTACGACTTGCCTTTACACATAAACTGCTTTAGCCCCGACCCCATAAGTTACAAACACATTTCGTCATGTAAAAATATTATGATTTATTATTTGTTTTGCATCATGGTTCGGTAATCCATGTATATAAAGCTAAGAGTGAGTTATAACCATAGACACTGATGGAGGGTTTATCTTCCTAATGTGTTACTGTCTTCCGGGTTAGAGAGAATTCGCTTGCTAAATCAATGGATATAGAGGTAGACTCATGTTTATTTGTTGTCGGTCAATGTGTGTCATTGGTCAGTGTATAAGTTAGTAGTCTACCAGGCGTTAATAATATTCATATTAGTGAACTACATTTATTTATTTATTTGAGCACATAAATATTAGTAAAAAGGGGCACCAAATACATATGCGCCACACAAGTCACTTGATTTATGTGTGAGCTGTGATGCTGCACGAGTTCACAGACCAAAGCAGGTGGCTTTCTTAGGGGCAACAATCCTAGCCTTAGACCTAAAGGTGTAATCCACAAGGCAGTGGAGCAACGTAAGGAGATGCAGTCCCATAGTAGCTGGTGACCAGCAATAGGTTCATACACCATTTGTTCCTTCAGGATCATGGAGCTCATGTTCACTATTGGTTTGGAATCAAGGTTTTCCAACTCCCCTAGGTGGATCTCCCGTATCCATCAACCCGGTTAAATCCCCTGGCGAACATTGGCTTTTCGTCCTCATAATTTCGTAAACAATACCCATAGTGCGAAAAGACAGTGAGTAGGACTTCCCTTGAAGTGATTGTACTCACATGGCCATATAAGAGAATCTGGATGGGGAGAGTAGACTGTCACCATTCTCGGTCGTACCAGGGTATTTGGAGGCAGTGAACTATATACAATGGTTTAATTCAGAGACATATGATAAGACTGAAGATCACAACAGAATTCAAATTTAATTAAGATGTTCACACTCTAAATCATAAATTGATCTTAGCCATAGCATTAGCAAAAACCTAGAAGCACTCGAAGGAATCCTATACTAAGACGAAATGACTATCCAATGCTTCTGAGTCTCACTAAGATGAGTTCATGATGTTATTTATGAAAATTTTACAATCTCCACAAATCGCCAAGATAAAGACGCTTTGTTCTTGTTCTTGTTCTTCTTCTTCTTCTTATATAATAAATAGACTTTTTATTGATGGAGGCAATTTTTCAACTATTGAAGCCAAAAAATACACAATCACATTAAATCAATTAAGTAGAACAATTCAATTATTTGAAGAAGAAATTATTGGTCATATAGAATCCATTGAAAAAGAACATCAATTAATAACCGATAATAAATTGAAACAATTTGACACTTATTTAAAACCATATTTAGCTGATGTTATTTATATGGAGAATATGATACGTTGTATAACCAATACACAAGTAAGTTAAAATTGTTTATGATGATTCTTTTTTATTTTATACAATCGAACATGAACAACATCTAAACACTATTTTGAGATCGCATGATGCTTGTACCATTGGAGACTTTTTGATGAACACAGTGTCGAAGGTCAATTCTCTTGGTGTCACCTTTTTCTCTGATCTCTCTTGGTCTTCTCACGTTTTATTGTTATCGAAGAAGGTTTTCCGTCTGAATTACTACATAAAGAGATTGTATGCTCTTGGGATTACTCATCATTTACTCTTACAATTTGTCAATTCTTGTATATTACCTATTATTCTTTACTGTTCTCCATTATTCTTTCCCGGGCTTTTGAGAAAAGACTTTGCTGTATTGCAGAGAGTGCTGAAGGCAGTTAGCAAGGTGTGCGGTGAATCTTTCGAAGTCATAATTAATATGGTTGTGGATAGACATCTAAAGTCGTACAAACTCCTGGCAGGTGTCATTTTATCAGATACTAGCCATCCCCTTCACTCTTATCTTTCTCCTTGTATATCTTCTGGTAGAACAAGACGTCAATGCATTAAAATTCATACATGCAAGTCAAAATATAAATGTTCTATAATACCTTACCTAGCAAATATACTCTGTGACGAACAGGTTGTTAGAGTTAACTTAGTCAATAACCTCCATTCTTAACATGACTTTAATTTTAAATGTTGTACAGTTTTTTCGGGATTTTTTTAAAACCTTTTTTCCCCTTTTTTCGTCTTTGCTTTTTTTGTGTGTAAGAAATCTTTACAAAGGTCAACATATTCTTGTTGTTGATATGGAATATTACAGTTGATCATTATTGATCAGAATAGGTGGATCATGAAAAGGATTTCACAGTGTTTTTATTTTAGCTAGAAAAATATTCCGATTTATGAATAAAAGTAGAGTCTAAGATTCAAATTTCATTCTATTTGAGACTTATCAGTTATATGTACATTAATTCTACTGTTTATGTATACAATAAAACTCGGATGCAGTTCAACATGTTACTTACTTACGCCTGTTACTCAACGTGGAGCATGGGCCACCCACCATCACTCTCCATCAAACCCTGTCCTGGGCAATCCTTTCTAGCTCTTTCCAGTTGTTATTTATGTATAGGTAAGTTAGTGGTTAAATGTACTCACTAACATAGCGGATAACGCAACTGAATTTGAAATTGGATCAAATTCCAGTATCAGTTTCAGCAGCACCCACGGACCTCCTAATCGATGCTGGCCCACCAACAATTGAAGAGGTCAGCATGGCCATCAGACAAATCAAGAGTGGCAAAGCAGCAGGACCAGACAATATTCCGGCAGAGGCACTGAAAGCAAATGTAGCAGTAACTGCAAAGATACTCCACATTCTCTTCAATAAGATTTGGGATGAAGAACAAGTACCAACAGACTGGAAAGAAGGACTTATGATCAAAATACCGAAGAAAGACGATCTCAGCAAGTGTGAGAACTACAGAGGCATCACTTTTCTCTCAATACCAGGAAAAGTCTTCAACAGGGTATTGTTAAACAGGATGAAGGACTGCGTAGACGCCCAACTTCGTGACCAACAGGCAGGATTCCGTAAGGATAGATCGTGTACAGACCAAATCGCAACTCTACGGATCATTGTGGAACAATCAATTGAATGGAATTCATCACTCTACATCAACTTCATTGACTACGAAAAGGCATTTGATAGCGTGGACAGAACAACACTATGGAAACTTCTTTGACACTACGGCGTGCCTCAGAAGATAGTCAATATCATACAGAGTTCTTATAATGAATTAAACTGCAAAATCATGCACAGAGGATAGCAAACAGACTCGTTCGAAATAAAGACCGGTGTCAGGCAAGGTTGCTTACTCTCACCCTTTCTCTTTCTCCTGGTGATCGATTGGATCATGAAGACGTTAACATCCGAAGGGAAACGCGGGATGCAGTGAACATCTAGGATGCAGTTGGATGATCTAGACTTCGCAGATGATCTGGCCCTCCTATCACAATCGCAACGGCAAATGCAGGAGAAAACGACCAGTGTAGCAGCAGCCTCAGCAACAGTAGGTCTCAATATACACAAACGGAACAGCAAGATTCTCCGATACAACACAGAATGCACCAATCCAGTCACAATCGACGGAGAAGATTTGGAAGATGTAAAAATCTTCACATATTTGGGCAGCATCATTGATGAACATGGTGGGTCTGATGCAGATGTGAAGGCGCGGGTCGGCGAAGCGAGAGCGGCATATTTACAACTGAAGAACATCTCGAACTCAAAGCAACTGTCAACAAACACCAAGGTCAGGATTTTCAATACAAATGTCAAGACATTTTTACTGTATGGGGCAGAAGCCTGGAGAACTACGAAAGCCATCATTCAGAAGATACAGGTGTTTATTAACAGTTGTCTACGTAAAATACTTCTGATCCGTTGGCCAGACACTATCAACAACAATCTACTATGCGAAAGAGAACAAACCAAATCCCAGCGGAGGAAGAAATCAGGAAGAAGTGCTGGAAGTGGATAGGACACACATTGAGGAAAGCACCCAACTGCGTCACAAGACAAGCCCTCACATGGAATCCTCAAGGCCAAAAGAAAAGAGGAAGACCAAAGAACACATTGCGTTGGGAAATGGAGATAGACATGAGAAGAATGAACAAGAATTGGATGGAACTAGAAAAGAAGGCCCAGGACAGAGTGGGTTGGAGAATGCTGGTCGGTGGCCTATGCTCCATTAGGGGTAACAGACGTAGGTGAGTAAGTAAGACGAAATGAACATTAAAGACTTCACTCCATTTATTGTTTCAACTTTAGCACAGGTAAACCAAAGACGGTCACATGAAGATATTTCATCAATCTAATGATTGATTGATTGTTAAAATGAATCCTATCTGTACATTAAAACTTAATAATTGGGATGCACAAAATTTATTAGATTCTTCGTTTGTGGACATTCGAGAATATAACACAAAATCACTGGTAGTAGATGCTGTTTCATACAATTTTATGATCTCTACCATTTCATGATCTGCAGTTTATCGTAATTCTGTCCTTTGGATTCTTTAATCTCGTTCGTTTTCTTTAAAATATATTTCTTGAGTTCAGCTTCCCATTAAAGTGATCACTACTATCGTTGTTTTCACTTGTCTATCTTAGATGTGATCAATTTCCTCCTTCATCTTTTTTTGATATGTACGATGTACGATAAATTTGATTAATATATATTCATGTTCGGTCTTATGTTTTGATGTTATTCGGTTAGAAGCAGTCAGCAGGAAACTATGGGACGAGATGCCCTGGTGTTTTACACTTATCAGGAAGGTGTTTTTAGAATCTCAAAGGAATTGATACTCCCAGTGTTATGATTTCTCTTATTACGACCTAGCCACTCTTATTACTTAATATTCTTGGACATTACTTCTCTCAAAAAGTCCCCAAATTAGAACACGGTTGAACAAGAACGTAATTATATTCTTAATAATAAAGGTGGATGGAAGTAGGAAATACAATAAGAAAAATGTAAGTATATTTGTAATTTTTTAGATAAGGAGATTCTAGAATCTTCTCCAACGATCCACCCTAACACAATTCTTCACGGAACATTCTTTAACCCAATCTGTATCGCGGTAACACACAGTGAGATTTGTACCCTGGTCAATGTACTTTACAGATTAAGATGTTAACACTGAGATTATAGGGCACTAACTGACTTCCAGTAGGAGAGGTATGTCGATATATTGTTTGTGACTGATTGTTTTTAGTTCAAGTTTTGTCATACACTACAAATGTATATATGTTTATATTAGGAAGAAATCCTTGCTAAGTATTCATAACAGTTCTCTCCTCTAAACTTTTCTCCTCTCTACGGCTTTGAAATATTATAAGATCTCTCCATATGTAGCTTGAAATATCAACTACTCAACACATTCATCCAAGAATTGGTAACTTCATTTAGATTTTTTCTTACCGTACTGTTTCGTTTAGTGTTATATTTCAATCAGTCAGTCAGTCAGCTACAACGTAGGAACAGGCACATATATGCATCGGTACAAGTTGCCATACCTCACTCATTGGCACAACAAGATAAACACCAAATTCATAGAAGTAGTTAATTCAGTGGTGGTAATATATAAAACAAAGATTTTATGTAAGGATATAGTACAGGGAGAAAGAATTAATTTGTAAAAAGAAAGTTTAAGGGAAGACAGAGAGTGTATACACCTACACCATTATGATCGACTCTGAGCCATATCACACAGTCTCCGACCATTGGTTACTATAGTTACACGGATCCCAACCAAGTAGTGTTAATCTACCAACATATCTCAGACTAGAAGTTAGTAACTTCAATGACTGATGCCACATTGTGGTTTGGCCACCCCTAACTTTCTTCCAACACTTGTCAGTATTACGCGTCGTGTTGATCGATGTTCAAGCATACGTAACACATGACCTAATCATCTTAGTCGATCAAGATATATATGTATCTAAACATAAAATTGATTTTATTCATGATTTCAACAAAAAGATGTAACTCTCTCTCTCTCTCTTTCTCTCCTTTCCTTCTCCTCTCCATTTGTGTATATATATTAACTAGGTACAAATCAAAGCACAAACTGAAGATAGTTCAAGTCAATCAAAATTATTAATCGGTCAAATTGAACAATTTCAATGTTTATTAAAATCACTTAATGAAACAAATCAAATTCTATCAAATACATTATTGAATATAACATTAGCTACTACTACCAATACTACTACCAATACTACTACTACTAATAATAATAATAATACATTACAACAATTAAATATGGAGGAGAGAATCATGCAAAAAGATTTAAGTAATAAAGCAATTGAATTACTGACTAGAATTTGTATTAATGCATCAGATCGTTGTGTATTTTTAAATTGTCTACGTAGTCAATATGTCAATGATGATTATGTTGCAACAACTGATCCAAATGAATTATCCTATGAGAATATAATTGGAAATAATAAAGATAATTTAGTAAGTAATATATAGTATTGTATAGAAATAAGTTATTGAATGTATATGTGAATGAACTACTTTGACTAGGAGAAAACATTCGACAGCGTGGATAGCAGAACTATATGGAACCTTCTTTGATACTATGGTGTCGCAGAGAAAATCGTCATCATACGAGATTCATATGAAGGACTACAGTTTAAAGTGTTGCATGGAGGACAGCTGACAGATGCATTCCAAGTGAAGTCATGTGTCAGGCAAGGTTGTTTACTCTCCTCCTTTGCCTTTCTTATGATGGTTGACTAGATTATGAAGATCTGAACATCTGAGGGAAAGTACGGAATACAATGGACAGTTTGAACAACTCTATTCAAGTAAATCAACGATTTCAGTTAGAATCGTAAAAGTTGCTATGATAAGATAAAAATCAAGAAGGCCGTTGACTAATTACACAATTTCCTTTACTTTCTAATCACGGAATCACTGTCTATGTAATTATTGATAAAGTGATTATGCTAAGATCAAGTACACACACACACACAACTTTATAAAATATGACATGACTTTGTCACAGCTAAAGTAGTTGACTTCTGAGATGACTTCTTAAAATGTAAAGAATGGTGAAAACTGTAACTGATCGAGTTTATTGCTATAAAATAAAGTATTCTACAAACTTAATTACTCCTGTCACCTCTCCTGGAGGAGCATAGACCTCCCGTCAACATTCTCCATCAAACTCTGTCCTTAGCAATCATTTCCAGTTGTTTACAGGTGCTATTTATTCTTCTGATGTCTGCTCCTAACTCCCAAAATAATGAATTACTTAGTCTTCCTCTTTTCCACTTCCCTTCACGATTCCATGTCGGTGCTTTTCTCGTGATATCAGTCTGATAGTTTCCGAAGTGTATAATCTATCCATTTCGAACATCTTTTCCTAATTTCCTTTTTATCTGAAAGTTGGTTTATTCTCTCCCACCATAGGATGTTGATGATGGTATCCGGTTAAAGGATATTGAGTATCTTGTGTGGACAACTGTTTATAAATACTTGCACCTTCTTGATGAGGGTTGTGGTAGTCCTCGAAGTTTCAGCTCCGTACAGTAGAAATAACTTTCTTGATGTTCATATTAAAGATTTTGACTTTGATATTGGTAGATAGACAGTTGTTTTGAGTTTTATATATTGTTCAACTTTAGGAATGCTGTCTTTGTTTTGCCAATCCTTACCTTTAAATCTGTATCAGATTCTCCTTGATCATTGATGATGTTGTCCACATAAGTGAAATTTTCCACCCCTTCCAGAGTTTCTCCATCAAGTGTGATTGGATCAGCATTATTCATGTTATTATTTGAGGATGTAGGGTTTTCCTTTGTGTACACTTCACTGGTTGGTTATCTTGACCCCCATTGACTACTACTATGTTTTCTATAATTTTCTTTCTTTTTCATTTCATTACCAGACATTGAATAAAACAAAACTACAATCGGTATCACAAAATCCTTCCATAAATATTCATTCCATTAAAGCTGAACAAATCAAACAACCAACTAATCAATCATCATCATTATTATTAACTAATATGAATATACAAAATGCTTTACAAATTAGTCGACCAGGACGATTATTCACTGATGATTCATGTATTCAACTTATACAAAATATACTCAATAAACATAATTCAATTGATGAGAATAATCTGGAGAAAATGAAAAATATTACACCAAATCAATTGATTGACAATACGTCTAAACGTAATGATAATAAATCATGTAAGTGATTTGATGTTGTCAAGAGATGATCATTTCTAGGCAAGACTCTAATTTTAAGGACGAGCCAATCAGAAGCGGTTTAGAGATTTCAAGGTTACAGCGCCAACTTCAGTGCTTCATGCTAATGTACGATCGGTTCACAGGGAATTTTGTACAAAACGTGATAATTGAGCGTCTATAACAAATAAAACAGCGAGACTATAATTTGTGAACGAATCAATCAGGTATAAGATAATAGATCTCGGATTTGGATGCGAAGGCGTTTCATCTATTTGACTAAATAGATTTCTGGCATTATAGCTGATGTCAGTTCGTGATGAAAACCCCATATATAATTCCTAACTGAGGTAAATTACGACAATTATTCCGAACTGGATAATAAAAGCACCAGTAACACTGGCTGCAGCCAGGTACTACAATATATACGAATATTTGGTGAGTGTACAAACTCATACATAGACTTGGTTATGTGTATTGTGTCGTTATCCACAAGTTTATTATTTATTTATTTCAACACATAAATATTGGTACAAGAGGGCACCAAATATATATGCGCCACACCATATTTGTGTGTGTGTGGGCTGTGATACTGCCCGGGTGCCCAGACCGAAGCAGGTGGTTTTCTTAGGGGGCCACACCCGGAGCCTGTTACCTAAAGGTCTGATCCACAAGGTAGTGTAGCATCGTAAGGAGATGCAGTCCCATGGAAGCCGGTGACCAACAACTGGTTCATACGCCATTTGTTCCCGCAGGATACTGGAGCCCATGTGCACCATTGGTTTGGGATCCGGTTAAAGCGCTGGACATTCGCTTTTCGTCCTCTCATTTTCGTAGACAACACCCCCGCCACGAGAAGGCAGTGAGTAGGACTTCCCTGTCAGAGGCTGCATACGCGTGGCCGTATGAGAGCATTTCAAGAGGGAGGGGGGGCCCACCTCACTCTTGGTCATACCAGGGCATTTGGGGCCCAAATAGGAACAATAACGGGGCGGATTCGCATGCATATAGCATAAAATTGTCTTTGAACTTAGCACACAACAGTAGCATCATGCACTGTCCCATCGCCCTTGGCAGATCAGGCAACTCGAAAGTCACGAGAACACCATCAGGGCATACGACAATCCAGAAGTAGCATTTTTTGTACTCAACAATCGGATTGCACACAAACAATATGTAGTCGGGGCTGAAAGAGCATTTGAGACTTTATCATGACTCCAGATGTCGACTATTCTGTGGCCGTATGGATGAGTTCCTCTGCTATATGCGTTACGAATTTGGAGCCTCTGAGCCTCTTTCTAACCTTGACAAGTTTTTGAACCACGTATAAGAAGTGTATCCATTTTCTTTCTTTGGTTTTGTATAATATATTTTTACTCTATACTGACCGTTTGCTAATTGACTAATATTTCTCAAGGTCACTTAAGATTCATTCAAAGGTCGTCCATAAATTAAAGTCTCGCCCATTCCTAGCATCAAACAGAATTGTCATGAAGTCTGGTATGTAAGTTAATGTATTAACTCAAGTCAGTTTACTAAATAAAGCATGAGGAGATGAAATGCCTTGATATGGCCGAGAGTGGGGAGAGTCAGCTCTCTCCCTATCCATATGCTCTTATATGACCACATACATACAACCACTCCAAGGGAAGTTCTATTCACTGTCTTCTCGCACAATGGTTGTTGTTTACGAAATTGAGAGGAAGAAAAGCGAATATCCGGCGCTCTAACCAGGTCAGTGAATATGGAGGATACACTTAGAGGAGTTGGGAAACTCTCATTCCAAACCAATAGTGCACATGGGTTAAAGGATCCTGAAGGAACAAATGGTGTATGAACCTATTGTTAGTCACTGGCTACTATGGGACTGCATCTCCTGACGTTACTCTACTGCCTTGTGAATTAGACCTTTAGGTCAAAGGCTGCGATCGTGCCTCCCTATAAAAACCACCTGCTTCGGTTTGGGCACCCGGACAGTATCCCAGCCCTCACATAAAATCTAATGATTTATTGCCTCCTTGTATCAATGTTTATGTGTTTAGATAGAATAAATTAAAATCACGAACTTATCTAAGTTGGACAAGCATTGAGAACCTGTTAGAACTGAATAAGTTTCTTGTTCTAGTATGGGACTCCTCAGCAATAAACCGCCCAGTACTTCGATGCTTCGAATGGTAATCTAGCTTGGATAGGCTTGTGGTTTCAATAAACTTCAACAATCTCTAGAACTCCATAGATGTAGTACTGAAGGAGATCAAACATTGAAGACTACAGTTCGAAAAGAAGGAATTAGTTTCAAGCGAATAAAAAGTGTACAATAAGATTTGGGATGAGGAACAAGTACCAACAGACTGGAAAGAAGGACTTCTGATCAAAATACCGAAGAAAGACGATCTCAGCAAGTGTGAGAACTACAGAGGCATCACTTTTCTCTCAATACCAGGAAAAGTCTTCAACAGGGTATTGTTAAACAGAATGAAGGACTCCGTAGATCCCAAACTTCGAGACTAATAGACAGGATTCCGTAAGGATAGATCGTGTACAGACCAAATCGCAACTCTACGGATCATTGTGAAACAATCAATTGAATGGAATTCATCACTCTACATCAACTTCATTGACTACGAAAAGGCATTTGATAGCGTGGACAAAAAAAACTATGGAAGCTTCTTCGATACTACGGCGTGCCTCAGAAGATAGTCAATATCATACAGAGTTCTTATAATGAATTAAACTGCAAAATCATGCACAGAGGATAGCAAACAGACTCGTTCGAAATAAAGACCGGTGTCAGGCAAGGTTGCTTACTCTCACCCTTTCTCTTTCTCCTGGTGATCGACTGGATCATGAAGACGTCAACATCTGAAGGGAAACGCGGGATACAATGGACATCTAGGATGCAGCTGAACGATCTAGACTTCACAGATGATCTGGCCCTCCTATCACAATCGCAACGGCAAATGCAGGAGAAAACGACCAGTGTAGCAGCAACCTCAGCAACAGTAGGTCTCAATATACACAAGGGGAAAAGCAAGATTCTCCGATACAACACAGCATGTACCAATCGAATCGCACTTAACGGAGAAGATTTGGAAGATGTAAAAACCTTCACATATTTGGGCAGCATCATTGATGAACATGGTGGGTCTGATGCAGATGTGAAGGCGCGGGTCGGCGAAGCGAAAGCGGCATATTTACAACTGAGGAACATCTGGAACTCAAAGCAACTGTCAACCAACACCAAGGTCAGGATTTTCAATACAAATGTCAAGACAGTTCTACTGTATGAGGCAGAGACCTGGAGAACTACGAAAGCCATCTTCCAGAAAATAAGAAAGAAACAAAGTGTCATTCCGTTTACTTAAATGAGACTAAGTCTAAACTGTATTACCCAAAATATTTAACCATTATCATATGAAGAATTGTACCCTTAAATGCAAATGTATTGGTCATTTAAATTTTCCGAATGATGATTAGAACTATAATTGATCAATCTCTTTTGGCATATATACAACCTGTTCGGATTGCTTTGATATTTCCATCAAGTCACAAGCATTTTAAGCAAAAATGGATAATGGCTAGCTTTAAAATCCAAGATGTGTGTTTTATCCTTTTTGGTACTGAATTTATGTTAGATATACCTGTATTCCAGATTGAGTTGATGTTCTTTTGAACCCAGTAGAGTTCATTTCAAACGCCATCGTCGGTGACACTATAATTTACGGACGACCTTTGAGTGACGCTAAAGTAACCTTGAGAGTGTCCACATAATACCTAGGACCATATGAGGGTTATAAACCAGTGTGAGGAATTAGAATTATGATTTACAGTTGATGGTTAGGATTAGGAATCAAATTTTGGGTTTTCATCATGAACTGACATCATCTTAAATCAGAAGGGGTTTTGTGGAGACTGTAGTAATTTCAACAGTTGAGATCATGAGTCAATTGAAGCTAGACCATCATGGAAAACCTGGAAACACTGAACGGCCGTTTCGTCCTATTGTGGGACTCCTCGGGAGTACGCATCCACGACCCTGCCTCGCGGGATTCGAACCCAGGACCTATCAGTATCTCCGTCCAGTGCTTCTAGGTTTTCCATAGTGGTCTAGCTTAATTGACTCATGATCTCAACTGTTGAAATCATCTTAAATGCCAAAACTCCATTTCGCCAAATGGATGAGTGAATTTCACACCAAAATCCGAAACCTGTTATTTTATACGTGATTGGTTCGTCCATTAAAATTATAGTTTCGCCTCATCGTGTTATTCACCTAACAATTGTGTCTAACCAGTCAATGACTTGTGCAATCGGGCGAATTTTGATTCGTATATAATATTAGTTATTTTAGTCTTCCCATCGATTTTCAGGATTGTAGTTGATCATTGTCTACAGTTGATACTGTGTTGAATTCAATTTAGATATAATGAGATAGTAAGACAAGTAGCTTTTGTTATACACAGTTCAAACAGTAAGACCTCTTAAATTTTCTGAAGAATTTTGATCTATTAAAATGTAATCATTGCTTATGATGAAGAATATTAGTCCTTACAATATCGTACTGTTCGGCTGATATTCTGCAGGATATTTTAGGTTTCCAGGTTATATTCTAGGTATATTTCCTTGAAGTTCTCCAGACAGTTAGTTGGTTCATTCCTTCTGATGTTTGTGGAGAAACGTTTTCCAGCTTGCATTGCTTATAGTGCAAGCGAGATGTCTGTCTGTCAACCGAAAAACGACTGAACTGCTCAAAATTCAGCTCTGGTACTAGTATTTAATCATCGATTTTTCCGAAAGATTTTTTGCGAACCACGGTACATCCGAAGAAGTATTCACCATGTTTGAGGGATTAAGATATCACCTAGGTCCGGTGAACGGGTCGAAAGTTAGAAACATAACAGAACAAGCTAAGCTATTTTCTCTACGCTCCAACCCTGATAACTAGAGGAAGAAGACAAGATTCAGCCGGGGAAATATATAATCCGACAAACAGCTGGGAGAAT